GCAGTATACTCGTCCTTTTATTGATAGACGGATATCTCGTCTTCGCCATAGGTGACGTAAGTTGGCAAAAGCCAATCGAGCTTTTCGAATCCGTGCTGAGATTTCGTCCGATACCAACCCATTAGGGCTGATCAGACTTCCAAGATAAGTGAAGTTGTCGACGCGTTCGACTACTTCACTCTTTATCCTTAGTTCAGGTGTTAACGCAGACCAGTCCTGAAGCAACAACTTGCATTTAGAGGGAGAGAAGCGCATTCCAAACATTCTGGCATTGTTGCTTAGTGCTACCAAAAGACTCTGCATTTTGTCAGCGTCTTCACCAAACAGGACTATGTCATCTGCGTATTCTAAGTCGATAAGTGGACCTCCTGGTAGGAGATCAATACCCGAGAACTCAGTCGACGAGAAAGTTATTTCCATCAGTAGATCTATGATGAAGTTAAACAAAAATGGGGAAAGTGGACAGCCTTGACGGACACCACTTGAGGTTGCAAAAGTAGATGACAGTTCGCCATAAGCTCTGACTCGACTAGTAGTGTTCGAGTAAAGAGCCTTCACAAGGTTTATGTACTTCTGTGGTACGCCTTTCAATGACACACTGCCACAGAATCTCGCGGTCTACCGAGTCAAATGCTGCTTTTAAGTCGAGAAAGACCACCATTGTCGGACGTCGATAAGTATGCCTGTGTTCTAGAATCTGACGAATGGTGAATATGTGGTCGATGCAGCCACGACCAGGTCTGAAGCCAGCTTGAGTCTCTCGTGTTTGCAGTTCACGAGTCTTAGTTAGGCGTCTGATAATTATCGAGGCTAGTATTTTAGATATTATATTAGTTAAACTAATCCCTCTGTGATTGTCACAGGATGATTTTGACCCTTTCTTATATATTGGGACGATAAGTGATTGTGACCAGTTAGATGGGATAACGTCTAACTCCCAGATCCTAGCTAAAATATTAGTCAACCTAATCGCTAAAATTGGACCACCATCCTTAAAGACCTCTGGAGCCAATCCATCTGGACCAGCTGCCCTTCCTCGTTTCAGATTAACTATAGCCTTTTGAACTTCAGCAAGAGTTGGGGGACCTACTTCAATGTTCCATTCACACTGTCTGGGAATGGAGGGTAGTTGTAGAGTAGCTGAAGGCCAGTTGAACTGTTCTCTGAAATGTTCCGCCCATCGTTCTAAACGCCTGGACTGAGAGTAGATGAGTGTATCGTCTTTTTCCGATATAATCTCACTTACACTTGACTTATTAATTCCAGTTTCTTTTATTAGTCTGTAAAGCTGTCTTGTGTTCCCTATAGTCGCCGCCTTTTCCATCTCTTTTGCTTTCGTTGCCCACCACTGCTCACGGTCGTTTCTTAGACTTTTTCTTAACCTAGATCTGATTTGTTGTCGCTCTTCATCATGTTCGGAACCTGATGGGACGAGTTTGCGAGAATCCATCAGTGTGACAGATTTTGAAAAAATCCACTGGTTCTTTGTAACTCTGTGGTTAAGTCACTAATAGATTTCATTGCTGTTTCCACAGCTGTTTGTATATCTTTCCAAGCAACATCTGGGTCAGCCTCGTCTTCAGAACTACCTAATCGTGACCTCAGTTGTTCCTGGAACCTACTTTTGGTTTCCTCGCTACTCAGTTCGATTCTGACGGGTCTTTTTAATGTGGCTTTCTTGCGTCCAGTGAGGCGCAAGCAGATGCGTGCCCGTATTAGGGCGTGGTCGGAGTCCAAGCAGGTACTCCAGAATGAGCGACAATCTTGTACCGACCCTCTCCAACGATGACTGATGGCAATATGGTCTATTTGAGTCCATCGTTGGCTTGGTGCAGGCGGTCGCCACGTTAGACGATGTCTCTCCTTATGCTTAAAATTTGTGTTTGCTAAAAATAAGCGATTGTCTGAGCACAGTTGCAGCAGACGGTCACCATTATCTGTTCGCTGTGCCGGAACGCTAAAATATCCACCTAAATGCCTTTCTGTTTGGTTTAAGCTACCTATCTGAGCATTAAAGTCACCCCCTACGAGTACTATGTCTGAGCGTTTAGCTTTCTGAAGAAGTTCGGACAGCTTTCTGTAAAATTCATCTTTCACATCATCTGAGCTGCAGTCAGTGGGAGCGTAGGCAGAAACGACGAAAAGGCAACGACGTGTGTCCCTATCCTTCCGAGTTCTTACATAGCTGTTTAGCCGAACAGCACATAGACGACTGTTGACGGGGATCCACTCTAGCAGTGCTTGTTCCGCCCTCATGCTTAGTGCTATGCCTAATCCTGCCAGTCCACGACAACTGGCCATCGGGTCACCAGATACACGTAGGGTGTATCTCGTTGGCTCTCCGTTTTGCCGAGGTGAGGTCAAGTGAATGACCACACTGGAATCCTGTATGCGTGTTTCGGAGACACAGCATACATCAATGGAAAGAGACTCTAGGGTTTTAGCCAAGGAAGCCTGCTGACCGATTTGACATAGAGTGCGTACGTTGAAAACTCCAATGTGCAGTTTGGAGCGAGGTTTCAGTAGACCTGGGACAGAGTTTTGAGCACTAGAATCGTTGGCTATGGTGACACTTGAGGAGGAAGCCGAAGGAGGAAGTTTAGGGTTGAAAGTCGATGTAGAAGGAATAATATGAATTGAAGAGGGAGGTTGATTATGAATACAGTGGTCTTGGGTGCTGTTAGAGGTATGAGGGCGGTTATCACTTCCCGGTTGCCCACACCGTGGAAGGGTTCTTCTGGAGGTACCTGAAAAGGAAATTTGATTAGAGGCGGTCTCAGTGACCTGAGAGCGTGACCGCAGTGCCCAAGGGACAACTGCTTGAGGCCGGTCGCGCACGGCCTTTTCGTGGGAGGTTTTTGACGTGTTAGCTCCGTTCTTCAAAGGGCCTTACCGCCGGAGACGGAAATCCGTCAGGTAAGGTGAGGTGTGCATTTTTAGGGTCGACCTTTTCTAACCCCACCCCTCCTTGTGGGAAGGCAGCATCGCTGTCATGCTGGTTGTCTGAAGGAAACACCTTACTGCTGTCACACCTCTGTACAGTCAGCAGTACGACTTCGCCTCCGGACCTTGGGTTTGTTGCTTTTAGTCTTACCGCTCTTCAACCGACCTGTCTGACATGGTAGGACCTTGAGGAACGGTTGTTCCAGCCAGTATAGCTCGGTTGCTTCATCACGATAGGCAAGCCCGACCACCACGTCAAGGTAGCAACAACGGTCGGGAGTTGAATGAATAGGAAGTCGATTACAATCTAAATTTCAATCAACTGACTATATTGACAACTAATTAACTAAAATATTTTGCTTTTTTCCGTTGAAAAAATTTGCCTACGTTTATTTTCAGTAGTACGGTCTCATAATTCTGCCTGCAGCTCTTCTAGGGTTACTGCCCGTCCCGAGTAAACGAGGAGAGTTAGACATGAAGTCAGCAATACAATCCCGTAGAAAAAAACCTTGATAAGAAAACGCTAACAAGGATTGAACTATTTAACGTTTGTCCAAGGATTTCAAGGGCCTTCTTTCAGTCATGAGGTTGATGCCTATTCTAACAGCCAGAAAAATAATTTCTATAGGTGGAATGCCGGAAGGGCCAACCTAATAGCTGTGGAAATGAGGATACAACTTGGCAGAACTCGGTATCAGCCAAAACAGCTCTGCTTTACTGAGCTGAAACTTGGAGAACCACTCACCATCAAAAATTACAAGTAACTATAAACAATTGTTTACGCAAGACATTCAATGTTCGTTGACGGGATACCATCAGCAACGGTCTACTGCTGGAGACAACAGATGAAGAGGAAATTAAGTAAAGACGTTAGAGGCGGTGGGTGTTACATACAGATCAAACTGCATCACGAGTCAAGTGTTTACTTGGAGTCATGAAAGGAAACGGAAAAGATGAAGGCCAAAGAATATATTGTGGCAGGAATTGGAAGTAGACATGAAGAGGATGAATAGCAACTGGAAAATATTTTACATGACAGAGTTGGTTGGAGTATGCTCGTGGGCGGTCTACGCAAGAGCACGAGGGGTAAAAGTTGTAAGTACAATATCATCATACAATTAGTTCCAGATAGCTATATGTAGAGCGAAACAAATTAACCTATCTTTGATTGCAGGCATTTGTATTTCAATCCTCGGATCACAGTCATAATCATTATGCGGTATTTAAGTTAGTTGAAGAGTATGAGCGAGAATTTAGCCGATGATAAGCATACTCTACAGTTCGAATAGTAAATTTACACTATTAGTGATAAGCGCAAATGATTTCAAGAATTATAAATAATGTTGCTGTTATAAGACTATTTGTAGTTATCGATTTTTTTCAAACTAATAACAGTTAAACTGAAGATAGTGGTGTATTGATATAAGAGATCTGGTATGTTGATTTATTAGAACACAATTTCACTAAGTTGAAAAAGGTTGCCCTCAATATACTGATTCGGTTAACTAACATCGAAACAAAACATTTCGTACCTCGACTTCCATAGACCTAGACGCCTGAGAAATATTTCTGTCTTCGAGGTTGAAGAACGTGAATTTAAACTTCTCCACATACAAAAATGACACGACAAACTGCGTATAATCATGATAAGCAAATGGCTTTTCATACTTTGTCCACTGAAGACCAACCAAAAAAATCCGGGGTGTCAAATCCCAACCGATTTCCCGAAACATTCCAACACTGACAAAGTCAGATAATTTTTACTATGAATTAACAATATAATTACGCTGATTATAGACAGATACAGCAGCCCGAAAGCATACACAAGTAAATGTTTAATTCTAAACACTTGGATATGACATGGATGAAATATACAAATGAAATCAGAAAGGTACGTGAGTAAACAGATTTACTAGTAATCAGAATTACGAGCGACTTCAAATAAGGTTTTTACGGGACGAAGGTAGGAAGCACATAAATATATTTATATGACATTGAAATGACGCTAATAGACATATGACCACAATGTAAAAAACAATGTACAGTTCAAAACTTACTTCCAAAATCAGTTGCGTATCCTTTGGGATTTCCTTCATAATCTCCAAAGTCTTTTTCCACAATAAAAGATCAGGTGAACAGGCACGTTGAGTGTACTTAAGAATCTCTGCAATAGGGAGTTGGTAGCGCATTATACGCTGTACTGGTTGCATTAGGTGTGAGACAACGTCCTCTTTGTCGCCAATAAAAATGCGCAACTCCTCAAAAAAATCCCGGTACTGCTCTGCAATTAAAGCTGCCTTTCGGTGATTTTCACAATATTTCGAGTATATAGACCTTAAACGAGCTCGAGAGTCAATAAAAAGCTTTGGTATGCGATCAGGATCACTTTCCACAACGCTAACTAGCTTTTCAAGGAACGCCGAATGCCATTCATATAACTGAATCCAGTTTCCCCATATGATTCTCCATCGAGCTGCTAAATCCTCTGGAGCAACAGGCGGGGAAGCATGTGAATCACTGTGAGGTAGCGAGCTGGGTGCTCCTATGTTTTCTGTATTGGACTGAGCTGTAGTTGGAGGATTAACAGCCGGTATGTAGAAATCCTTTACCAGTTTCAAACGCCGAACATAACCTTCTTCGGAACTAACTAGTTCCATTAGTGGTTGTCTTCGCTGTATCAACGCTCGTGAAACATCGTCCCCAGCCGAGCCCGATATAGTCATTTCTTCAGCACACTGGTCTTCTTTCATTTTGGCACCAGGTGAATTTTCATCTGAAGAATGGCGGTCAATACTAAAGGAATCATGAATAGAACAAGGCTCGTCTTTAGAATAATTCGAACGACTAGCTTCCTGATCACTTAATTTCATTGTGTTGGCCTGCATAACCATCATATCTAAAGAGATGTCTTTTAATCCAACAACAGATTGAGGACCTAGTTCGTTAGTTGACATAATTCAAGGAAATATGCAGTCACACACGCCAACGAACGATAAAAACAGTACATCACTTAACTACTCCAAGTTCTAATTATTCATCTATGTTAGTAGACTGAACTTAGTTACTCATATATGATAGCAATCACCATAACTGGATGTAATTCTCCCCACGCATTAGAAAGAAGCCATCGACAAGTTGGTTATAAAATGCGCTCCGACTTGGGGATACAAACAAAATAACGTCAAATTTCCAAGGTAATGTTGTAATAATATGTTTGTCCATCCTATCAGGTTTTCACATTTTCGGTGCAAAACAGTGTGATTTTATTAGTTTTGGATCACCAATATTCTTCCGAAATTATAGGAGTTTGTGAAATTCTTAGTTTAGAATTTTCGGTTTAGGAATGTCAGAAGACTAGGTGGCCTATGTTGTTTGAAGAATTATTTTCAAGCTCAAAAATATATTCAAAACATGAACCATCTTTTCCTTTGAGCTAGACAACTTTGGTCAATTAATTATCTCAAAATACCTTAAAAAGTCATCTTAACTTAGGGGTCTGGACTGTTGAAGTGGGTTATTTGACCAAATTAAAAGATATGTAAGTACTTACTGGTGTTGTCAGTGCTCGCTTAGGCACTCTCAACGAACTACGCTTTACCTAGTTATTTAGGGCACTCCCTCTGATATTCAGCAAGTCAGGAAACTATATACTAAGCTAACTCTACTCAAAATAGAAAATTACTTTTATACAACATAGAATCTCCTTTGATTAAAATTATTAACGTTTCGTTAGAAGAGACCAAAACACTTAAAGAGAGGTTTTTAGGGGGAAATGACGGGCTAACACTCTATGACGATAGGATTCGTCGTTAGAATTGTGTACAGAATGATGAACGTAATTTAGACGCGCGCTATTTAAAAAGGACAGTGGTATTTTTCCTCGCTGAGTAGATTTCATTGTTTTGATCGTTTATTACGTATCAAGACTACTGTTTTTCACTTTAATTGAATTTATTTTAGTTAAAGTATTCGACTAAAGTATCGTTTTTACTGTTTTGTCGTTGGTACTCTAGTACCTCTTTTTCAACTGTATCTGTTAGTACTTTTGGTCCTAGCAATCTACAGCTCTTCACTTTTTTTGGTCATTGATAATTTTTTTGTTTCTGGGTATCATCGCATATTAAAAAACCCCTCCCAAATGACCGGACAGTGTAAAAAAAGCAGTTGCCGACGTCCGGGTTGTCGTTATCCTGTTGAAAGCGGCATGCAGTGCGACGAGTGCAAAGGCTGGTACCACGAAGTTTGCACGAACTTAACGCCTGCTGCTTTCAAACGGTTCAGTAAGAAGGGTTGTGTGTGGCTTTGTCAACAGTGCTGCTCGGATGCAAACAGCTTGTTAACCGAGGTCATCTCACTGGTTGATGCTGCAAAGAAGTGTTTTAACAAGCATAGTCGGAACGCGTCAAACAGCACTCGATCTGTTGACACGCAAATCAATGTGAAGGAAACTAAGGTGAGTCCGGTGATAGATGACTCACGCCCGTCAAAGAAGGAAAAGCAGTCTCCAAAGGGGCCTGCTTTAAAAAAAAGCTCAGGAAAAGTAGGGTCTTCTGTTCCCCGTCTCCCAGATGGGATCCAACAGGAAACACCTAGGAGCCGCAATCGCAAGTCTCGATCGGTTTCAAATGGTAAACATAACACGACCCCTCAGGTCGTCGACAACCCCCCAAAACCCAACACTAGGTTTGACGCAACTGCTATTGCTTCTACCAGCAGCGTTGACGAATGGGTAAAGGTTGTAAGGAAGAAAAGTATTGATATAAAAAGGAAACCTGCCCCCGCAAAAGTGGTTGAAAAACCGAAAGCTGATCATAGCGACAGATCAGCTATTTTTCATAGAATTAAGGAGAGCGATAGCTCTGAACCTAAAGCTCGTTTTGAGCATGACATTGTACTGATTAGGCAGCTGCTTAATCAACTCATGCCTCAAAATATGACTGGGGTCACCTTGCTAAAGGTGTATAGACTAGGGAGTCTAACGGACTCGAAACCAAATCATTCCAGACTGCTTAAAGTAGTATTCGGCTCTTCAAACGAACGTGACCTAATTTTACAGAATGGACACAAATTAAAGGGTTCAGGAGTCTTTATCCGAAAGGACCTACCGTTGGCAGACCGTGTTAAAAGACGGGAAGCCGAGAAAGAACTACAACATAGGTTAGACGCTGGCGAAAAGGACCTGAAAATTGTAAATTTTTGGGTTGTAAGACTTCGACAGAGAATGATGCCGAAGCCACTCTGGGTGAAGCACGAAGGCACTTAAACAGGCTTCGGATCTGTTACACCAATGCACGAAGCTTACTTAATAAGCGATCGGAACTAGGTGTACAGATTGACTCTATAAAGCCAGATATAATCGCAGTAACAGAAACCTGGCTGACACAGGCTATAGATAGTATAGAACTTGATTTCGAGGGCTTTACGTTAGTAAGGGCTGACAGAACACAAAAGCGCAAAGGAGGGGGAGTAGCTCTATTCATTAGGAATGCTATCCCATTTACCATTATCGATAGTGTATCCCATGAGAGTGGGACGTGTGAATTAGTTAGTCTTCGCTTAAAATGCAAGGGACAAGAGCTGCTGATTGGTTTGGTCTATCGCAGTCCAAGCTGTGAGGCAAATGAGATCCTGTTAAGCAGTCTCAATACTTGGTCCCAAAGTGGTCGATGTCTAATCCTAGGGGACTTTAATGCACCTATGGTAGACTGGGAAAATCTGCGAACTGAATCGTCAGAAAATTCCTTCGAGCAGGAACTAGTAGATTCGGTTATCACATGTGCCCTAGTGCAACATGTGAAAGGAGCGACTAGGTACGATCCGGACACTGAATCATCCTTATTAGATCTTATACTGACTCACTATGAGGATGATGTTGCGAACCTCCACCATATGCCACCCTTAGGTAAAAGTGACCACGCAGTTTTAACTTTCGACTTCCATATAACTGCCAGTCATGAGGACGCGTCAGTCCAGTCCAGACCCAACGTCTGGAAAGCAAACATACCAGACATCATGCACTCAGCATCGTTAATAGATTGGACAATAGACCCAGAGTCCTCCATTGAAACGACCTGGGACGCATTTCGAAATTCATACTTAAAAGTTACCACACCTCACATCCCTTGGACTATACTAAAGGGGCCGAAAAACTCACCACCATGGTTCAGTAGGGAGGTCCGTATCCTTCTCCGTAAGAAAAGGAAAACGTGGGATAGATTTAGGTTACTGGGGACTGATGAGTCAAAATCTCAGTATCGAAAGGCTCGGAACACTTGTGCCTCGACCCTCCGTAAGTCTAGAAAATTGTACGAAGAAAAACTTGTTGAGGAATCCATAGAATGTCCTAAACGCTTGTATTCCTATATAAACCAAAGGACAAGGAGAAAAGGAAATATTCCTGCTCTATGGGGAGACAGTACTGCTTCATCATTAGTGGAGGACGACTTTGGTAAGGCTCAAGCGTTCTCGAACTACTTTAGCAACGTATATACCATAGAAGCGCCCTTCCCGTCAGCGTATACAGATCCCCCCATACATACACTGGATAGCGTGACCATTAAAGAACTCGATGTCTTTGGTCTGCTAAATAAGCTTGACATAGGTAAATCCACGGGGCCCGATGAATTACATCCTAGGCTACTGAAGGAATTATCTAACTTCGTTGCGAACCCTTTAAGTACATGCTTTAACCTATCCGTTACGCAGGGTCGCTTACCGAAAGACTGGAAAAACGCCATAGTAAGTCCTGTCTTCAAAACAGGCACGAAACACAAACCTGAGAACTACCGCCCCGTTAGCCTAACTAGTGTGGTTGTTAAAATATTAGAAAAGATTATTCGGAAGGAGCTGTTTGAGTATCTCGATAAAAACCGGATCCTCTCGGAGAAGCAGCATGGCTTCAGAATAGGTTATTCTTGTCTCACTAACTTATTAGTGGCTCGTGAAAGCTGGTGTGCTCTTAAGGACCAAAAGCTACCTGTAGACGTCGCCTTCATTGATTTCAGTAAAGCTTTTGATAAAGTTCCGCACAACCGGCTGTTATATAAGTTAAGAAATGTCGGGATTGGAGGTAATTTATTGATGTGGATAAAAGACTTCTTAGTTGGGCGTCAACAAAGAGTAAGGGTGAACTCAAAGTTATCTAGCTGGGAAACTGTGCTTAGTGGAGTGCCCCAGGGTACAGTTTTGGGGCCAGTGCTATTCCTCTTGTATGTAAATGACCTTCCTTGTCTCCTATCATCATCGGTCTTGCTATATGCTGACGATGTCAAGATATGGAGAACGATACGATGTAAGAGTGATAGCTTAGAACTTCAAAATGACCTGAAGAAGTTATCTGAATGGTCTCAAACATGGCAGTTGCCGATAAATACTTCCAAGTGTGTTGTGATGCATATCGGTCATCAAGGCACAGATACATACACGATGAATAACACTGAGCTACCTGTCGTCCAGACATATAATGACTTAGGAGTTATCGTTAGTCAAGACTTAAAGACTACTGCACACTGCCGTGCAGTAGCCGCCAAAAGTTTTAGAACGTTATGGTCAATACGTAGGGCTTTTAGTCATGTCGACGCTAAGACGTTTTTGACTTTGTATACAGTGTTCGTTCGTCCTAAACTTGAGTACTGCATACAAGCGGCTAGCCCCTGCTTTAAAAAAGACAGTGAGCTTCTGGAAAAGGTTCAGAGAACGGCGACTAAACTGGTTCCCGGAATAGCGAAGCTTCCGTATGAATCTCGACTGGCCAAGCTGAACCTTTTCCCGTTGTCATATCGCAGAACTAGAGGCGACTTGATTACAGTCTACAAATTGCTTAGTGATAAATTTGCACCTAACATGCCCTCATTTTTCTTGTCTTCCAAAACAGAGAATTTACGAGGACACTCCAAAAAAGTTCATAAGCCGAGAACAAATTACTTGTCAGCTGACTATCGACTTTCCCATCGAATCATCAACGAGTGGAATTCACTACCTCAGCACGTGGTTGAGGCTCCATCCGTCGACTCTTTCAAAAGAAAGTTGGATCAACTGAGAGACCACCGTTGCCAGGACTAACATAGGCCATCGAGCCTCCTGTCCTTCCCAAACTGAGACTGAAACTAATTCCAGCTATTCAAAGCACCAAGTATCCCGTTTCCATCGTGCTAGGAACTACGCTGACAAATTAATTATTGATTCTGAAAGGTTTCTCCAGTTAAAATACGAATGTTTTGGTTTCCTAGTATGAGAAATGTGATAAAAATGACTTTATAATTAGTCTTGAATCAGTAAATTTGAAGTGGTTTTTGAGCTAGTCTGATGGAGAACATTTCCAAGTAGTTATCAACAGTTGCATTTAAGCCCATCTTAAAGATAGAAAAATAGCATTGGCTTTTCTAGGTTTGAAGAACAAGAATTAGTTCGAGATCATTTAAGGATGAGTCAAGGAATCATAGCACGAACTGACATTCAAGAATTACAAGGGTCGCTTTTAACCGCTAGAGCTTTTGTTGCAAAGTCGTTATGCCGACGATCGAAATTCGAAACAGAAACTGCACAATCGGTCTTTCAACCGTTGAAACTGAGTACAAGCAATAACAGGAGAGCAGAGATAATGGCAGTTCCAAGGATGTATGTGTGACAACCTCCCATTATTTTCCATATTTACTATTTATTTATGTTCCAGTAAGTAAGCAGGTAAAACTGTTTTCTCCCACTGCCTGGGAGAAAGTGTATTAATAATATTTCACGTCGTTTGCAGTAAATTAATTCAACAATGTGAGAGGTTTATAAAAAAGCTGAGTTCATCTCAGAACCTTTAAAAGACTAGACCGACAAATTACTGTACTACTAACTGCATTTCGGAGTTCAGTTGATGTCATTATAATCATCCATCATGATGTTTTAACAATGAGTTACAGTTTCTTGCTCTTAGTTTTATACATACAAGCTAGCTTGTATTAAAGTCTTACAACCACCTGACAGTATTAATGTCTGTAATTCTTCTTTAACATTTGATTACTCACATACACCATCATACGATTTCTAGCGAGGAAGCTCATAATTTGTACGAAGCAGTGTGGATTACCGTTCCTGATCTTTGTCGAATGATAGGGAGCCCACTTGTGTTGGACGGGAATGATGGAACCCACCAGCTAATGTTGCAATCACACTTAACGATTAGGGCAAAAGACGGATTGACCTTTCGACATATCCAGGTATTATGGCTATCTCACCGAAAACACAAACAGAACCATTACACAAATATATTAAAAAGCAAGCAACCAAACAGAATCAGAAGAATACTGCATGCACTTTTAGCGTTCTGAATGTATAAAACAAAACAGGCTTCACTATCCAAGAACCATAAGTTACGTGATAACCTTATAAGTTATCACTGAAACTCGCATACAAGAACCAAGTGTGGTTATTCACTTGACCTCAGATAGCAAATATACATTAAATCAATTAATTAAAGCAGATAGATTTCGGCACACTTGCGTACCAACAAAATGCACCACACGAATAAAGTAACGGTAATGTGGAGAGGAAATTTTCATACAATCAATCAATAAATGGATAGGTAGAGTACTTAATGAGCTTCAGTTCAGTTAAAAGTAAACACAAGAGGAGTTCCATTTAAGAGAGGTCATCTCACTTTTGTGAACAATGTAATAGGAAGCTACAACAAAATCATCACTAGCCCAAATTTTGAGCAATATATGATAACGTTTCAAGCCACTGGGTCTCACAATCTCTAGAATCCCAACCTGAGAGTCGTGATGGCAATATCACAATGCCAGTTTCCATGACAGTGCCATCGTACAGACCGATCACACCTGGGCTTTTTTACCATATCACATGGTCAATTTGATTTCAGGCTTCAATATAAGAGGGAGGAACGCCAAGTAGAAAGTGAGCAGTCATGGTAACCGTCTTCTGCACTTATGTAGACCATAATCATTTTAAGTCGAGCATCAATTTTAGACATGAATGTGGACTCGTCTTTTGAGCACCAGGTAAGTGACTCTTTATAGGTTCAGAGGCATATGTATAGAATTATGTTCGAGAGGAGTCAGCTCCAACAGGCATAATTGGAAAGGTGTTATGCAGCACAATGTCGTGAAAATGAGTGGCCGAAATAAGCGTGAATGCTTTTGTACCTTCGAAGCAGGAAGTCTAGGTGCAGTACTTGCTCGAAACTGGGGTTTCCAAAAAGTCATCTGTAGGCTTTTGTATCTGTCAATCTGGTATAAGTTCCAGAATACCGATTTCCATTTTTATTTTGTCACAAATACTACCCTGCCTTGTAAAGTGGCATCCCAGAAACATGTACAGTGACAAATGTCTGACGCTTTTAAGTATTATTATTTTATTCACATCAACATTAATTAAAGCATTTCAAAAAAGATACTTATTGTTTTGACACCTTTTATAAAATAAATGCGATGGGTTAGTAACAGTGCAATAATTACAATTTTTCATAAGTTGATTTGTAATCACATTCAATACAGCATTTATAGTAAATATCTGACTTAGAATCATATTTCTCCGGTCCGAACACATGTTCATGAGATTTATGCACTCTCGTATATAAGCTACTGCGTGTCTGAAGCTTCAGTTCTGAAATGAAAAGAGCAAACGTTTTGTGATAAACACCTAAAGTCCTTAATAAAAACCAATCACATTCGCTGGATAGATATAAAGACTTATGATAAGAATTGATCGTACAGCGACTTTCAGAAAGGACTACATAAAAGATGCTGGTATTTGTAAGAAAATAATGTTCCGAAATGATGCAAGTTACCTTATGACTCTCCGCTTAAAAACATCCACAAAGTAACCATAATGAGTAGATAAGTGTCATTACTAAGGTTTGACTTGATAATATCAAATAAATTGAGTATTGCGTAAATTGTTATAAATAAAAATAATTTATTTGTGATATCTCAATGAGTAGAAGAATTAAAGTCTAAATTTTCTTAAGTTTCGTGAATCAATTTAAACCGATCATCCATAGAACAAATAAGTTAAATTAAACCGTGGTTCAATCGTACAAAGAAAGAATATTCAGTGAGATCAATGGAAAACCGGTATAACTAAATCAATCTCATATCATTCCAGCTAAGGTGATTTAAATGAGGCATGTTTGCATATTTGTATTGAAACAATTTACACTGTAGGTGATATTTGGTTTTTCTTCTTTTGTCATTTCTTCCTTTGGTTTTCATAGGATTGATTGAAGTGATTTTGTTGGTTTGTGTGCTGCACATATTCCAGTAGGTGTCTAATAAGAGGCAGCTTTCTTCGAGGCTAGGTTTTACATTATCGAAAACAACATTTGAAGTAGATGAGTTCACCTTAGAGGTTGAGGGAACAATATTTTCAGCAATTAAATGATCTGTTTCATCTGAGCTGTTGGTATTGTACTTCATTTCCCTGGGCCTTGCCATCGTTAGGCCAAACTAACAGAACCGAATTTCGACCAGAGTTCGTCACTCAGAAGATTCGAACCAATTTGAACCAAAGTTGAGAACTGTTAAGTCTATCGAAGCGTCCAATTCACGCGATTGAGATTCGCGCAAAATCGAAGTTCGCAAAGTAACGATGTCTAAAATAGCGGTTCTCAAATTGTGAGGTGTCTACAGTGTTTACCGCGTGTTTTTGTCTGAAATAAAAAGGGCTTCAGTAGTGCAAAAGACAGTTGTTAGCTGTGTCTACAGTTGCTAACAGTTTATCAACAAGCAAAAGCCGACCCAAGAGAGAACAATGTGGAAACCGCTGCGTCTAAAGAACGGTTAAACAAATACACGAACTGTGAATAACTGATACAATGATTGAGATAAAGTAATTGTAATGATAAATCCTATAAGTATATGTAAATATTTCAGGATATTATATGCCAATTAAATACAAGAATATCGTATATTACGCAGAATAATATATCGTGCGAGAAAAGAAAACAAATACTACATTAAGTAATCATTACATTGAATTAGAAAGGAAGTATTGTTGAACAAAGCTCATATTATTAAACCAATCGAATTTTGGCTTTCTTTCCATTTTATCACAAACCAACAAAATCACTTCGATCAATCCTATGCAAACCAAAGGAAGAAATGACAAAAGAAGAAAAACCGAACATCATCTGCATAATAAATTGTTCTAACTGCGAAGAACACTATATCGGACACTGCGGACGCCTTCTTCATCTTCGTCTGCATGAACATCAATTAGCGGTCAAACGACATTACGTATTTTCAGTTATATGGATGCATGTGGACATATATTCGACGGGAAAATGTTGAGATCTTGGATAGACAGAATTCTAAAAACACCAGAATTTTTAGAAGCTTGGCTCTCAGGTAAATCAGCAATCAACACACACATTGAAATCGTCCCAATTTATTAACCAATCAGAGAAATCATGGACAGGAATCATATCATTGTGAGATGCAATCAAGATAAAGAAGTAAACAATGACAGGTTAAAGGCCAACAATAACCGATTAAGATCGAGGTCTACAGGACAAGCTGGGAGTCATATGTGGAGAAATCCGAACACCTTACTTCTGCATGAAGTTTGTGCTGGTGATGTCATTCAAAAGAACAATGGGAGCTCCACAACCAAAACATCCAGCTCAGAGAACAAAACTTCATCAAAATCATTCACCTGAGCTACAAATCTTCTCCACCATCTCAAACTAGTGACTACTCCATGACTAGTTATCTCAATGTATTTCCAACGAATTAATGAGTATAGTTTACACGAATTGGGAATCCCTAATACTTACCTTTAACCTTTTTACTATAACTTTTAAGTTTCGATTCTTCATTGCGCTTAAGGCGCTTTTCACGTTCTTTTTCTAATGCATCTTCACTACCCCAGATTTCTAGAGCACGTTCAGCAATCTGAATTTTACGGAAAATAGAAAGTAAGATACTTTTAACAATACTCATAATCGATTTTCTAATGACAAAATTCATTATTTTACAACAATCTGAGGTATCAAACGATTGACGTAGATTGGGATTAAATTTCTCATTGGTCAGACAAATATTGTTAGAAAATCACATAACTACACAAAACGATGGAAGTTAAAAGGCAGAACATGGAATAGATCCGTCCTATGTGGTAAACGGATATATAGATTAAGCATTTAACAATAGTCATTAATATTTTTATTTGAGAAGCGACATGTTGCTAAACAAAACTTTGATAGTGATTTCATAAAACCCATAACTTAAAAGCCCTTTAATAATTAATTATTTACTTAAACATATAAATATTGGTACAAAGGGGTACCGAAAACATATGCACCATACAAGTCGCTTGATTTGTGTATGGCCTGTGATACTGCCCGAATGCTCAGACCGAAGCAGGTGGTTTCCGTAGGGGGCCACACTCGGAGCCTTCGATCTATAGGTCTAATACACAAGGCAGTAAAGCGACGTAAGGAGATGCAGTCCCATGGTAGCCGGTGACCAATAAATGGTTCATACGCCATTTGTCCCTTCACGATCCTGGAGTACATGCTCACCACTGGTTTGGAATAAGGGTTTTCCAACTCCCCTAGGTGAACGCTCTATGTCTACCGACCTGATTAAAGCGCCGGACACTCGCTTTTCGTCCTCTCATCTCCGTAAACAACACCCCAGCCGCGAGAAGGCAGTGAGGACTGTCCTGCCAGTGGCTGTATACACGTGGCCATGTGAGAGCATTTCGAGAGGGAGATCTAACTCTCCCCACCCTCAGCCGTATCAGGGGACTTGGGAGCACTTAAGAGGCCTGATAATTTTTATATGATGAATGGGTATTTCAAGGCCTAGATCCTTTTATTGGTAAAATCTACATAAAAATTAGATGAAGTTGTTGTTCAGATATTGACATTTTTTCAATCAGATGTTTACGTTAAGAATTAATTAATTTGGAGATTTCTATGACCATAAACTATATTCCACTAGTGAATCACTCACAGTCAAGGACTATTGAATATCCATCTATTCCTTGTCTAATAGCTCTTTGCCAGTTATAATCTGGGAGCAAACTCATAGAGGTCCATGTTAAAACTTAACGACAAAATAAGAGATCAATAAATGTTGTGATCTATTGAATACTGAAATAAGCTACAGTCCCAATCAAAAGAAAGTCTTATCTAAGAAGCTAATTATTACTGCTCATCTTTACAAAAACACTATTAGTAGAAAATTGAGATCGAGTAACATTTTAACATACGAATAAAAATATGAAAAACCAATGATAAATGGAATAGCAAGTTTCTAAAACAGTTATTGTTACTTGTGCTTCCAAATACAGCCTCATATCACCCCAACTTGAATTGTGTGGATTACGTTTCAACAAATAGTTCAATTTCGGTTCACGTATGTCTAAATCAACATCATTTAGTAAATAACGTTCTTTTGCTGAACTTTTAGTAATTAAAGCATGAATATTTTTAGGATCTCTAGACAAAAAAATAGAAGTATGAGATTAAGTAATAAATTGAATTAAAAAAGTAACTAAAGCAAATAATAGTTAGAAGATACTCTGATATTATAATCTAAAAGACAAAACCATCAGTAATATTCAAACATTCGTATTTCACAACTAGTTATGTTTAAATTAACTATGATTGATATTTGTTTGTGTCACAGAATTGGTAGATAAAATAACGGATCAGTCGTTTTAACATTCCGATATCTATTCAGTAGAGATTCATGAGGAGTAATAAGTCGATTGTCAACATATATTGCAAATTATAGCATACATTACTTGATATTCAAAAGTAGATCAGATGCAAATATATCATACAGCCGGGTCAATTGGAATCAAGATGGCACGTTTTAGTCACCTTCCCGGGAATTCGGAAGTTAATAATACACAAGGTGTTGTGACTTGATGGTCTGTTAGTTATCACGTAATCTATTCGCAAATCAAAATACGACTTATTCGCTCTTATATTGCACTAAACCAATGACGTCTGGCCGGTCTGATCAGCCTAGCGTCCTATTGGTCCGTTGCTCGCCTAGCCCGTCCAATTGAGTCCAGGATGCCAACAACAGCCTCCACTATGTGAATCATATATTTCAAACATACTGGGTTTATATATCAACCAAACAGACAGCAACGCACCATAAAATAGAAAATAACATTCGTACAAAATATAGCCAAAAGTGGCTATGAACGTGGGAAACAGTAATTAATAAACTGAGTATAACTTAGGAACAGTAAGTCGTACAATAATAATCCATAGGTCAAAACGAAGCTAATAATAAGAGGAATATAGATATACACAGTCTAGTTACTGAATATTTTTACCATAAGAATATATAAATAATATTAGTCCATTAATAGGTCTCAGAAGTTACTCGTAATGTAATCTTCACTAGAATATAACACAAGGTATGTCCCATAAATAACTTGGTGGAGAAGAAATTTATTTAGCGTTTCAGTGACTAAGATTTGACAATAAAACATATGTTATTTCATAAAACAGCAAAACAAACAGTATGAGAGCAAAAGTACATGAAACTCTAACTCATTATGCTATATATTCTACCTTAAACACAATAATATGATAAGAATCAGTTCCGTTTATTTGTTCAGAGTAAACTCTCAACTAAGTCACTATTAATTCAATGAGTAGCTAGAGGGTTTGTTTGCACAATTTACTCAAAAAGTTATAAGTTTCAATATGTTATTAGGTAGGTGTCTAGTAACGTTTCTTCTTCGACATTTTAAGGAAACTGAGCACTAATACTTTGAATAGAAAAAGTAGTTTACTTTAGGAGAACAAAAAAGACTACATGCCTCGGAAGGCTTATAAACCGTGTAAAACTATTACACATTTAATTAATTGTTTATCTTTCTCAGTAATAAACTTTTGATTTTGACGGTCAACATATAGTGTTAGCTCTACATGTTACCTAATGAGAGCTAGTAGAAGATGTAGAAAACCACTTGATAATATTAAATAAAATATTGCTATATTAGGCCAATATTAGTTACCGAAATCCTTATGGGAGGCCTAGGCTCCTCCACGAAGGGTAACAGACGTAAGTAAGTAATTAGTTATCGAAATAACCTTTCTGGATGGGGTCCTGCATAATGTAACTATTACTGGCTTGTAACGTTATCATAAATGGTTTAGAATGAACATAAGTATATCAGTGTCCTTGCAATTTATTTCTCAGTAAGGTGTGACTTAAAAAGAATAAAATATATCTTAGCTGTATTCTAAAGTGGATTGTATTTGTTAATGTTTTTATTCTTGTTATGGTTCATAGTCACTTTAATATTGTCTATCATTAGCCACTTGCCATTAGTTAAGTGAATATACAATTGATGCCTTAAACAGGTTTCGTAAAAAAGATCGTATTAACTTTGAACTCAGAAAGTGTAGCAATTGAGTGTAAGTTGATAGGAAAATTGATCAGATATCTAAGATTACATTATTCGTGTTATACCCAGACGAAGTATAAGTGAATGGTAACTGTTAGGATCTATTTATGAACTGTTATTATATATATTCTTATGGTATAACTATTAAGTAACTGTATTATATGTATATTCATATTCCTTTCATTATAAGCTTCCATTTGACCTACTGACTATTATTATTCGATTTACTATTCTCGAGTTATTCACCAATTTATTAGTTACAGTATCTCACATTCACAGCCATTTTTGGCCTGATCTTGTATAATTTTTATTTTATATTTTATGGTATGATGTGGTCTGATTTGCTTGTATATAATCTGAGTGTGTCTGAAATATAGGATTCATATGACGGAGGTTGATATTGGTGTTTTGGACTGAACCAGAAGCTCCTATTCTCAAAGGACCAATAAGAACTCAGATTTGACTATAGGCTGCTCATACTGGTTTATGCGTCATTGGTCTGTGTTCCAAATTGGCGATCTTATAACATGATAAATTAACAGGCCATAACGAAATAACAATTAGTACATCTTTGATAGTCGATGAACGTTCCCAAGCATTAGTTATTCTTTTACTAAACATGCACCAAAACACAACTTACACTCTATCAGGATAAATATATTTTACATCCTTTGTAGGACTTTTCTCGAGACGACTTTAATGTTACTGTGACGTTTGTACAAGGTTATCCTAAGTGTAATATTCGCTTATTAATAACTTATTCCATCGGACCGATCCATAGTTTGTATTTTATTGACAGATTGAAAGCTATTCTTCTATTTATTGATGAACGCAATTTATCATTAATTATCCAATGAGCCAAATAGAACTGACCGTCTTGTTCTCTGATAGACCGTTTGTTGCTTATTTTGTTGCATAGAATGCGATTTTGTTATGCGAAATATTTTTATAAGCATAAAATCGTAAACTCAAGGAAAATAAATAATCGGGAAAGGAATTCATTAAAGTTAACTTGTTGACATTGTTTAACTTAAATATATCAACTTACCGACATTTATCACAAACATCTACTTCAAATGTTTTGCGTAAAAATGATTCTTCAAACAGTTTATGGCATAAATCACAAGTTGGTTTTTCTTGATCAGGGGGAATAGGTACATTGGATTCAGCTATGAGGAGATTCGACTCAGCGTTTGATTGTTTTATACACTTTTGTTTGCGTTTTTTAGGTTTAACAGTTGCATTTAATTCTGGATCTGAAAATTCTTCATCTTTTTCTGTATAAGGATAATTATGATTAGAAGTTTCCTCTTCAAAAATAAAACCTCCATCACTTAAGTATTTTGTATTCAGTTTTGATTGTGGGACTGATGCATAAACATCATGACTTGAAAAAAAATAATGCAGTAACTAACACCAGTAAAGAATATATATGTTTAGTTTGTAACAGTAAAGAAATTAATATACAATAGAATAGTTAGACAACACGAATAGCTAATAAACTTATCAATCTTGATAAGTGTATTTCATTTGGTTTCATGCATAGCACTAATAGTATCATAGAAACAAAATTGTTACTTGATAAAACACTTAAGACTGAAAATAGAACTTGGAGAACATTAATCAATTGTCATTCTAATTATTTAAAACAAATATTCTCTAAAACTGTAGTAAACAGTAACTAGTAATTTAATAAATATAGGATTGCGATAGTGTATTAAGAAGACGAAGATTATCAGCACTATGTGGTATATTAACGCAATACATTTCGAACAATGTAATCACACATATACTTGTTAAGAACATTTATATATAAAAATAAAAGGTCAACTAGGCTAGAAATGGAGGGTAAGGGGAGACAAAGATAATAAATATAGGATTCTTGGAATTTTCGAGATGTTTTCAATCTTCTTGCACCATTTCATACTCTGTATATGTGTAATAATAACAAATAGTGAGAAAATAGCAGTCAATGAAAAGTTTACCGGTTATAAGAGCTCATAGGTTAAGAAAAAAGCTCTCTATATTATAGTCTATTAAGATATCTATAATACAACAATAATGAAAGATCAGTAGAACATTTTGTAGATAGATATGGAATACATATCAAACACCCCTAAATTGTTTACACGATTTTATAAAACTACATACCATGTCAGTCATGCCTGAAAAGATCATTTTATCTGTGTACTCCACGTTTACAAAACGATTTTCATGTAATGTATGTTTAAAAAAAGTAGAGATTCACAAAAATGAAACTGCCCGTATGTTTAAAACGTATACAAACACGGATAATAGTAGTGAATATACCTATTGGATTACATTGCATCATGTAACCATATATAATAAACCATTGTAATAGCTTAAACTACTAAGTACTTTGACAGTACCTTAGTTACGGGACAAATTATGACGAAAAACAATTCAAATATGTTTTTATCTACAATAACGAATTATACTCCATCTAAAAGTATGTCTGTCAATCGTGAAGAGTGTCGACAAGACGTTCCATTACTCAGTTTTCTCCATATGAATTTAATAATAGTGAAGTATAACAGAATAATCATGATACATACAGAACGAAACATTAATCAGCTACTGGAAGAGTTAAGCTTTTTTACCATCTATGGAACAATCATAAAGCTAGTTTTAAGAAATGAATTATATGTTGCAATTAGTTGCCGTATTATATATCTTTATAAAAAGCATACGATTCAGTTAGTTTGATACATACCGATCATTTGCCACAACTTGTGAAAGTCTAAGTTCTAAGGCACGTTTTCGGTTTTGTTCAATTCGTAAATGTTCTGCATCTGTAAGTTCATCCATTCAATAGTCGACTCACATGGAGGACGTATTCTAAACATGACAATAAAAGATATATTATGAGGACACAAGCAATTTAAAATAACAAAGAAATAGCTAATCGATCAAATACAGTTAGTTAGGATCCAATATGAATATATCTAGCATTTAACTAAGAATTCATGTTTCTCTTCTAAATGCCATTATCCACCTATTAAATATGTATATATTAATACAATGGTACAATAAACTATCGACTAATTTATTTCATACATAGTTCAATAAAAAAAACAGATTAATATGTAGTTAGTAATGGAGTATTGTAACTAACCAACGAAGGACCATAAATGAACACTATTTACCGGCTCATCATCAAATTATCATCGAAGGCCAAAAAACAAAACCAAGCTATAAAGGACTTAGTGGATGTGTAGTGGTAAAAAGTCATGAGACAACAAGTGCTGCTTTCATATGTCCATTAATTTAGAATGACAGACAGTCACAATTTAAACGTTAAAAAACACGAAGTTCAGCGAAAGAATCTCTTTTCAACGAATTTATTATCAAGCTGTACAATCATCATATATATATAAAGGTGTATGTTTAAATGAATCTGCTGAAGGATAAAAATTCATATTAGAAATCAAAAACAATATAAACTGAATAAAGTTCGATAAATTAATCAGTTACATAATTATCCACTATAAGCGGTGAATTCGAACACATCACCAGCAAATTCTTTTCACAACAAGATGATGATAAAACAACATTCACTGAGTAAAATTTACTTAAACTGAATCTGGTATGAGATTTCATAACAAATCAATGGATCCTCTAGCTGTAAAACACAAAAGTCAATATTTAAGAGCTCTTAGAATAAAGCGGTTTATGTGTAAAACCTCAATTTAGTTATCGAAGCAGTTGAAACTTTATCTAATTTAGCTTATTAAAATAACTGAATAATATATTTCATCCTAAAAAAACAGAACCAAATCAGTAACTACGTAAATACCTAAGTAGTCATCTTTTTGCCATACATGGTATGCCCCAACCAGAGATAAAATTTAGTGATCTAGGCTGAAGTGAATGAGAATAATTTTGAGCCCGAAACCCAAAACCTTTGAATATTTCACCCAGTGAGACACTACTCAACAATTCAGAACATGATATTATTTGGGAATAACCAGTTCACTTATTTTAAGTTTAGCGTCAATCGGCTCACTCAGATTACCTAAATTAATACTTGATTGAACTAAGTAGTATCTATCTATTCTTAAACAACGCACACATACATACACACAAATTTACATACATATCACTCATGAATCACCTTGACAGAAATGACATGACATTAACTTGTTCAGACCTGTTTTTGATTGATCAAATATTATTCTTATTGTTCCGTTCTACTATTTAAACTTGGATTAATTTTACTTTGGTTAGTTATTCTCTGAAGAAGTGACTTACACTAAGTCACGAAACGTCAGAGAATCTAATTTCCTACTCATTGGGATATTACAAATATATTATTTTTATTTATATTGAAAATTATTCACATCCCGATTCGTATAATGGTTGTCCAACAGTCGAATTTAATAGAAGACAATTTACTTCATTGACAAAGAATCCGAAAGCTTATGATCGGTAAAAACGTAGTCTTATTCTGGCAGTAATAAAACTTGAAGACCTCGACCAAAGAAGCAAGAAAGCAGGGATTGATACAAGGCAATAAAGTCATTTATTTTAGCAGGGTTTCATTGCGTATTGCTTTAACAGTATACAGTTCTTTATAAAATCTGAAATTCTATGAACTTAAGAAGTTACTGGTCTTCATTACTCTTCGCTATACAATCTATTAGAGCAAGCTAAATTTAATGTGATACAATGCAACACCTTGATGTTGAAAGCACAGCCCTCAATCATTAGGTTATAAGTTTGATAAGCACTCTACACCACAAGCCTCTATATAATAGCTATGGTCGAAAGATGAAAATACATGAACAAGTATTTGTTGGTGAGTTTGATCTGTGCTATACTGGGATTTTTAAGACATGTGTTTGCTCGTTAAAAATGAAAAGGTTTGAACTTCCTAACATTATAGTACTTTGACTATCTCGAGATATTTATAGTGCTTGGACTATTTCATGTACCTCCTATGGAAACTCTGTAGTGTTTTCCATACGAAAACACATTCATACAACCTGCTCAGTATTCTCGAATACCAAATCAGTTTGCATACTTATGACAACCTTTTGTCGTCTGAATTTATTTTTGCTATGGAGTGTTAATAATCACTAACGTCGTATTGTCATATCATCTCATTCAGAATTCCAATCTGCATAACATTTATTTTCTCACATTTTATCAATTTTATTCAAAATGCTCATTTTGAAGTAACCTGGAAATTGTGTTCTTTCGAAAAGTGTAGGCTTAAATTCACTATTACCTAGCAATTTGTATCAGTCTGATCATATCTGAAAACTAGTGTTTACTCTATATAAATTCCCAGAATACATCATTGTTAACTACCAAATAAAAATACATTATAAGAAAATAAAGACAATTGATATGCTTGTGTAACAAATGGAGACATAATTTAAATAAAAAGTTATCATAGCAATAAAGAAAATAGAATATCATCCTAACATTATTATTATTATTGATGCAACAACAGCAACGGTAACAGTTACTCTGTCTTTCCTATCCGTAAATATAAATATTACTACATAAGAAAGTATCAAGATGATATTATGCTTTTAGAATACAGGGTATGGACGAATAAGGTATAAATAATTATAGTTAAGGTGAGTATACTGACGTAATATAGCGATTTTAACTAAAGTAAAATGGTTTTACTACAGAATTTGTGGCTAAAATTACTGTGTGTGAGACGATTTTCAATGCTATTCAATCATTTATCCCAAAGTGGACCAGATTTAAATGTGAGACTATAGTTCCCATGAATCCAATGCCCATAAATAACTTAGATGAACAGCAGCAAACAAAAAGTGTTAAACACTAGAAAAATAGTAAGAAAACATCAAGATTACAAAACATTATATTTTACCGAAATTTCGAAATAAACTATACAGAACTTTTTAAATTAATTATTTACGAGTTATAACGTCAACACTCAATGATCGACGACTTGAAAAGTTCTTATGTGATCTTCGATTAAGCTGTATAGTATCATTATCGTGTAATAATGTAGAACGTAAAGATAATTGTTGTTGACAATCAACATATCTTTTTACTAATTTATGATATTCGCCGTCTTTATTGTCATATGTAGCAAGCAATGTTTCTAACTCCTTCACCTCTTTTTGTAAAACACAACGTGAATTAGTAAGTTCAATGCTAAATAATAAAAAAATGAAAGAAATATGATAAAATGTATTTCCAAAACGAGGAATTCTTAGCATATTATGGAAGGCATTCAATAGCTTTGATTAATAAACCATTAACAATATATTTGAATTGGTAGACATGAAGACACGTTCGGCAGTTGTAAGTTTTCATGTTGAGATCTGAGAAATAATCGTAATTTATTGTTAAACATGTTCGGTTAAATGACACTAAACTAATCACAAAAGGACAGTTCTATATATTCACCATTTTCTTTAATATTTTGGATTTCGTATCAGCTTATACTTTTCGTCATTGAATGAAATTCTTTTCTTTTCAACTATATTTGTTATATTTAGCTCTCCGTTGAGGTAAATATTATCTCCCCCATTACACTTTATGTTATTAATTTCCATTTTTGTTGAGCTGTAATGCGATGTGACAATCTAGAATGATATATGTTCATGCTACTTCCTACATAGTCTACGTCTAATATGTACATTATCTACAACCATTTATCAGGAGTCACATTATTACTGTTGTTATTATTACAATTATTATTGAATGAGTCTTGGAAACCAAGTTCAGGAATCCGTACACGAATTTACCATACAGTTTTATTGAAGGTTAAGGACACTAAGTTGTTGCCCGAAACCCAAGTGAATGGAGGGAAGATACAAGCTGAAACTGGTTGTTTGGAAGTCAACTTTAAGCTATCACTTAACAACCACTTTAAACACCGACTTATTCAAGATCAAAGTTATCCAGTAAGTTAAAACTAGATGAAGACGAATAATTTGCTCAGCAGAACCACAAGAGCAAAATAATTTACTAACACACGGTACAATAAAACAAAACAAAAGCTAGACATAGGATGAGAAAAAATAGAGTGACGTAAAAATACAAAAGGACACAATATGAGGAAGATAAAAAGAACAAATGACGAAACAAACAAGAAATGATAAAGAAGCGATAATTCTTAATAGAATAAATAGGATCCTGAAATGAAAAATGTGCTTAAGGAAACAACTAAGCCAATAACTACCCGATTTGACTTAATAGTTAGAAAATTTCGAATACTTTGTACATAACAGTTGTGGTTGAAACGAAAGGGATTGCGAGTCGGTGAAAGTGTAGCGGTTTATAAGCAAAAACAATGGGGTAGTGACTAGCAATAAAAAGCTAAGTAACCAAAACGATAGTCGCATGTTTATCATAGAGTAAGAATAGTTATTGTACAGATGAATTATCTGATTAGAAGGTGGTATATCTCTTGAATACATAAAAAAAGAAACGCTATGTAGGTTTATAAATTAGTAACATGAACGTTAATGATGATCATGGTAATTTCGAAACTATGCTAAGGTTAAATTGGGATACATTGAACTAAATTAGCTCCTTGCAAGAAAGAAATGAGATACACAAAAGATGAAATGTAGATCATAAAATGAACTTCCAGCAACACTGTTGACCGAGTGGATTCGTCATATGAAGGTCACGGTGAGCAAAGTTCATGTATATTTCTCCTGAATAATCCTGTTAGTTGTCATAGCTTCGTTACGTACAGATAGTACTTGTTACAAATCACACTTTCCATACCTTAATGTCGCATACGAACCCCGACAGATGAAACAGAATGGTATCGCTTATAGACTTACTAGTTCTACTTTCAGGCCAAACCGATAAATCAATAGGCTCGAGCGAATAAAGCCCTTAAAATACAACTTGAAAAGAAGTCAGAATTATATATACATACAGAATGTGTGATTTTAATCTCTTAATAATTATTACACCTGGAAAGCCTGATTAATCAGATGTGGACTGATTGTTATTTCTTTAAAATAAAAATGATGTAACACTGCAGTAAATATTCGTCTGTCTACTCATCAAGTACTAGATTTTCGCCTCTGTTGGCTTGTTGTGCGGTTTTTTCTATGGAGGTTTGATTAATCTGATCACTAATTGGTTTATCGATTGATATTAATACGTGGTAGGGTTGTAGAGTGACAAATACTGTCGTGTTATATAAGTAATACTGTGGTGTGTGCTACTGACGTCGAAAGATGTAAGTAGTATGTATCACCAGTCATGAGTGAAATGCCTGGCAAGAGAAGGTTAAGGAGATTGAAGAGAACGAGAACAGTGAGTTATTAGTGTGGAAACTAAGGAAGAATCAAGTCTGAGACAAATGATTAAAATTTTGCAAATGAAGCGTTTACTGTATGGTCCTCAGATTTTATTAAGAGATTCTGTAATTTTGTGCTCAAATACATTTGGTCGTCCCCACTGGTATTCTCGTCCATTAAAATACTAATGTAATTAATAAGAATGATAGAACTTGGAAAAAAGAAGACATACTGAATTTTCTTCAGGATATCTAAAGTTTCTGAAGGTTGTGAAGTGGAATATTCAATGGATTTCTGCAAAACTTTGACGCGCAAAAGTAAGGCTTTGGCTTGTTCAGTTAAAACTGCTAATGCCTGACGACTCATTCGTGGCCAAACTACGTGTCGATATTCACGAAATAAACGGGAAGATGTATTGTATATCCTTGATATGATCTAAGAATATTCAAGTTTAAATAAAAAGTGATCTCAGATAAACATACAAAATTCAGTTGGATGTAAATAATATTCATGTTTTTTGATATTAAGAAATGATTGATACCCCACAAACAATTTCATAGTAGTCTACAAAATGATTACATTACACCTACAGCAACTGCGGTTATGTAATATGCAGGTGACAGTAGATTGACAGCCAAGTGACATATAGAGGTATCAAAATGCATGTGATAACTCAGAAACAGAGATTATTTCCGTCGGTAGAATGTGATTACCGCGGGAGGTACGTATAGGTGAATGACAGTCCCAGTCAAAAAGAATAAGCAGAAAAAGAAACAGTACTAGTGTTGGTGGTTTTATCGGCCTAATAAATGGAAGCAATTATTCTAATGGGCTCTGTATCGATAATAATTCAGTACCATTAGAAAAAGTTGCAGATTTATAACCTAATGCTAAATTGGATGACAGGCGAGTTGGAAATGAGCCTGTTGGCATATTTCAACTCTTGACGCGAGGTTCCAAAAAACATTGGATTCGAAGTCGAACCCAGTGTGGATGGAGTTGAAGATACTACTGTTTTATTTGAACACATAACAGTCAAAAAATTTCTGTGTACCCGTTTTCACATTTTTTTTCACACCAACATTATTTATGTAACTCTATAATATCATTTTAATATTAACCCACTCCCTCTTGTGTAATATGTTTTGGCATCTACATGGTCTGAATCATAGTTTAATAATAACAGTGGTTACAGTTGTAATCGTAACAATAATAACAGAAGTTTTAAGATAACAGGATATGAAAGATTCGAAAATGACTTATTTCCTAAAGAATGGTGACGTGACACGAAAGTGGAAATTAAGGGAGCAAATTAGGAAGAGAGGGTAGTACTTAGTTTAGCTTTCGACAAGGTACCAAATATTGATATGAGGATTAGTTTGCAAGATTTTTGGTTTTACGTTACTCGATTTTTGGTTGGATCGATGGGTATGCTGGACTTAGTGAAAAAAGTATCTAATAAAAAGTAAGTTATCCATAGTGGTTTAACTTCAATTGATTCATGATTTCAACTATTGAAAATACTAAAATCTCCACAAAACCCCTTCTGATAATAATCATCTGCTCACTAGTGACTGACTTCAAGAGACACTCCTAGAGTTCTAGTGAGAAGCCGTGACCAGTGGAGTTCAACCAGGTCTGTTGGGAGATATCAGCTCACTGAAGACAATGGTGTACGGTGGTGCAATTTCGTGGATTGGTTGAAGTTAGACATTAACACCGTTGGATGTCGGCTCAGTGGTCTAATGGTTAAGCGCTCGCGCGCGAGACTGATAGGTCCTGGGTCCGAACCACGCGGGGTGCGGGGTCGTGGATGCGCACTGCTGAGGAGTCCTATGCTAGGACGGAACGGCCGTCCAGTGCTTCTATGTTTTCCATGGTGGTTTAGCTTCAATTGACTCATGATTTAAACTACTGAAAAAAGTAAGTCTCAAAATTATAAGAAAACTAATGATTTTAATTACATACTTCTGTGAATGATGCCTGTAACCTTCTAAGTTCTGTAGCGAGTTCAGTTTTCCTATTTCGAAGCTTTTCAACTCCAACTGAATGATTGCTTTCAGATTGATCTGAAAGAAATATATTACGAAAAAATGGTGGCTAACCTTGGTTGTGGTCACCGAACAATCTCAGTCTTTCATTTAGCTTCTTTTCCATCCGTGTATGCAATATCGAAAGGATATCATCCATAATTTTATTTCCATGTTCTTCTTTACTGTAAAAACATGTTTCTTCTATTCCTTTAGAAACATGACATTCAGTCCATATCCTAGCCACTGTACAATAAAGATCACTTTCATAGCTGGTCAACAGGTTAAGTTCATATTCATATGCCAAATCAAGGATAACCTCTCTAATTAATTCATACTCAACAAGTTTGCAATAGTATCCCAATTGATTTGAAGATATTGCCTGATGACGTTTGTAAACATTTAGGAGATTCTATGAGTACCTTATGAGTTCCACGTTGATCTGGACCATACCTTTTACATTTAAATATTTGAGACTCCGCACAGAGTGAATTCACAAGCATTGTGGAGTTAGCCAGAATATTGAGGTACGAAAATAAGGGCTTGAAAAGTCCTAAATAAATAATAAAATCAGGATTATTCCCTCCTAAAACGACATGAAAGACAAACGCATATTAGGAGTAGTACCTAATAACTTTCAGTCACATTTCCAATAAAACCCTAAAAGAAATGTTTTATGAGAATACACCAATGTATTCCAAAAAACGTTTATAAGTAATAGGCTGAAAGGGCTGTAGAAAATAATCGACCGAGTTCGGCAAGCCCAAATGGGATGGTGATATCAGTTACGGTTGCAACTATACAGCGTTTTCATCACCAACTGATGTCAGCTGTGATACAAAATGGTTAGAGTTAAGTAAAAGGAGTTAAACTGGAGTTATGTATTAGGATTACGAACTAGGTTTAGGGTGTTCAACAAAAACTGATATCAGATGCAGATTTATGTATTTAAAACAGAAGATCGATGGCCTGTGTTAGTCCTTTTCTACTAAGCTTCTGTGAGTGTCTATTCTTCTATTGAATGCGTCAAGTGAAGGTGAGGACACGACTGCTTCGGGTGACAAGTAACAAAATTGAGTGAATCGATGTGAAAACCTGTTTGCGGCGGATATTCTGTTTGTCCAGTTATAATTCAATGTCGTTCTGCCACACTTTTGTGTACAAACTTAGAAAACTTGAAGCCGAGATTTAGAGTCAGTAATTAGATTGAGAGAACACGGCCTAGCAACAAAAAATCCCCGCCTATCCGTTGAATCACATCACGTACACAAGAAACTAATCAGGAACAGGTCTCCCTTGTAATATACAGCTACAACGTAGGACCAGGCACATATATGCATCGATCCAAGTTGCCATACCTAGTTAGCATATCTAGATGAACACCAGATCCATAGCAGTTAATTCAACGGTGGTAATACATAAAAGAACGATTTTGTATAAGGATATAGTACAGGAAAAGAGAATTAGTTCGTAGAACGAAAGACATAAAGAGATTTCAACCTCATGTTGCACGGTAGGTAATTTTATTAATTTTAGGCACCTTAAAGAGTAAATGTTGCCAGTCTTTACTTAGTTGATTGAAACATACACTGTGAGTGCATGAATGTATAATTCCGGTGACGGGGCTGAAATGCAGGATGGAAACAGCTACATTTAACACCCGAAATTCGGGTTACTAGACACCACGGTATCATTAACGGCAAAGTAGGCGTGATTCATTCATAAATGTTAATAGACGAGTTCCACAAAACTAGAAGCGTCGCCCTCAACGTCCGTGTCAAAGCGTACTGGAAGTGAGTTAGCTTCTGAGTAAGTCTCATTTGTAATTAGATTAGAGTTAATACTTGAGATTGAAAAATCACATGCTTCTCTGTAGAACATATCAAGAATATCAGACTTCAGTGCGAACATTATTCAACTGGTGTCTAGGTCTGTCCAGAGTGATCACCAACGGAAACTTGACACTGAGTTATTAAGTTTGCAGTCCTCTTTGTCATCTCAAGAGGAACTTAATGTCTTCAGCAAGAGCACATTAAGGAAAACTTTTTAAGTCTACTAAATACATTGGCATACTTGACATTTAAAATGAACATACTGACGTGATTAGTGGATGATAATCCTTACTATGCACTTACTTTTTTACCACATGTGCTACATCGAAACTAAGCATATGTAGTGAGTGACTTACGTCACATGTAAACGACTTCATGTGCACTTAACAACTAGTATATTCTTATTAAATAACGCATTACTTGTAACTTCTTTGTAAATGGCAGTGGAACTTTGAACTTACAACGAAAATGTATGGCTAGTATCTGTCTGTTATTAATCTCCTTGTAAAATGATGATTCTTGTCAATGAATTTAATCACATACAGCATTTTAAAACAGTTGACTGAGTCTAGGCATTTGTTCAGTAATTAAATTTAGGGCGAAAATAGGAGACATTTGAGGTCAGACGAAAATCACACAATTTAGCGTAATTTTAGGCGATATTTCAAACACAGAACAAAAACGGAAATTCTTGCAATATTTCCTCATAGTAGAACATATTTTTGGACGCATTTCTTTTTATTTTCTTATGAAATTTTCCTTTTATTTCCCCCTTGCTCACCCTTATTCTCTGTTTTTCGGTTGCTTAGGTGAGCCTTTGATTTCGTGTCAGAATTCACAAATGGTTGTGTTCATTCTAATTGGTTCACTCGATGGTGTCAGTATAGTATACTTTGACCTAAAAATCTATCCTTAACAATGAACATACCAAATATATCTCCTTATGATTCGAACACCTGACACCCTTTAACAACAGGGTCAAATTTTAAGCAACGAGCCAAAGAAGGACGTTTCAAATTCCAAACCCCAATTTCGTGATTTCAAGTTTTCTAGGATGAGTTAACGAACTGTTTACTCTGCTTTTGAATAGTAAAGGAAGGTTCTTGGCCATAGGTAAACATAATTATTGTTATATTTCCCCCCGAAACAGAAGGACGAAGCAAGTTCTGATGATTCAAATGGTTGTGAACGGGATAAAAGAAGCTTTTACTTTAAAGGTTTCCGGGTCTATTGGCAGCAGATAAACGACCCCTGAGGTAGGCACTTAAGCATTTTTAGCATGCAGACGACACAGGTTCACCAACCCACTATCCTTATTACTGAAGGCTAATATATTTGTCTAACTTGAAGATGCCGCAAGTATTCGCAGTTTGACAACGCTTTAACCAGTAACACTCAATATGAAGCGTACCCAACAAGTGAAATCAAAAGGCAGAAGCGGGGAGGTTTGAAGATATATTTGATAAGCTACCAATATATCGAGGATCGTCTGATCTAATCTGGCTAGCGATTGCAGGGGTTGTTGAGCACGGCGTTCCCACCCGTGATCTGGCGCAGATGCATGACCGAGCACCTTCAGCTAGGCGAGTCCATTAAAACTAATGTGGTCAGCATTCAATGCCTAAAACTTACAGAGCTATTTATTTTGAAGATTTATTACGGCTACAGATCACTACCCCCCCTAAAGGGGTAGAGATGACCCTAAGACGTGGCCAGCCCGAAGTTTAGACTCAACGAGTTTGTCGTTGGTAAACACTCTTCTGATAGCTTGCTAGGGTTAACAGCGTCTGATCGTCTTTCCTTACTATAGGTGACCATGAAGTACAATATAGTAAAAAATGAAAAAGTACAATGAAAATTTCGATTCCTCGTAAACTTCATCGCTGTTTTCCAGCCGTCCTGGAAAAAAAATGTTAGTACATGTCGAAATACGCTTTTACGCGCGTAAAACCACAAAGTGGGCGAAAAAGTGGAAAATAAATCCATGCACACGTAATAGCGTAAATAAAGGATTTTCATAATATGGGTTTTTGTTTTGTTCTGTTTTGTTTTTTGGAACAAAAATATAAATATGTAAGCATATTAAAATTGGTTTTTCTTTTAAATTATATATAGTACAAAGGAAAATCGAGACGATATAAAATGTCAACCAGTGTCTTACGTGCAATAATTGTTCAAATGTTCTGGAGATCATACACTTCTTCCAGAACGCGTTGTTTCACGATTATTTTTAGATACTGCCGAAGTATCATCGTGTGAGTTGTCTGTCAATCGAGGCATTTTAAGTGTGGTAGTTGTGTCGTCCGATTGTATCGAAGGAAAATCTATGTGGATAGAATTTCGTTCTAAATACGCTAATTTGAAGCAATCCATGCTGATGCTATCGTTGGTTCCGTTCTTATCGACTACATAGTACATACGTTCGCGTTTAAGTACTTGGAAAGATCCTTCGTATGCTGATTCCTAAGGTTGTCGATGCGAGTCTCGACGTATGAACACGTGTGTACAACATCGGAAGTCAGATTGAACGAAAACATCAGTTGATTGCGGTCAAGTGGAAACAGGTTTAACTGAACGCATTGCGTTTGTAAACCTGTTCGTGTAGGAGGTTAGACCCATGTTCATTGAAGAGGATGAAGAATCCACGAATTCCCCTGGAAGTCGAAGTGTTGTTCCACAAACGGGTTGAGCCGCAGTGTATCCCATGTCAGCTGTCACTGCATTGCGAATACCTAGTATGACGAGTGGAAGAGCGTCGGTCCACTGTGAAACGTTTGCAGCTGATAGTGAAGTTTTTAGTTGTCGGTGAAAGCGTTCTACTAACCCGTTTGCGTGTGGGTGGTAGGCAGTCGTTCAGAAGCGAGTGATTCTTAAACATGTGGTCAGAGGACGGAAAAGTTCAGACGCGAACTGACGTCCGCGATCTGTAGTGATGGTTGCAGGGCACCCGAAGTTTGCTACCCATCGTTCGACGAAGGTGCGGGCCACTGTTTCAGCAGTGATGTCCTTGATAGGTACTGCTTCTGGCGATCGAGTCAAACGGTCAACGCAGGCCAAGATATAAGAGTATCCATTTGAATCTGGTAAAGGTCCTGCGAAATCCAGATGAACATGGTCGAAACGAGCATCGGGAGTTTTGAAAGAGCCTAAGGGACATTTGTTGTGTCTGAAAACCTTAGATTTCTGGCAACTTACACAGGAGCGTGCCCACTCCCGCACGTCTTGATTCATACAAGGCCAGCAAAACCAATAATGTTTCGGCATGTTTGGGCGATCCTTACCTGTAGATGTGTCACACAGTAAGGTTTCCTTACCTGTTCCCATCTGTTTGATGCGTAGCTTGAGGGTTGTAGACGATAACTCGTGCTGAAGATCAGTGTCTTCTTTTTGAAGCTGGGAGAGTTTCAGAAGGTCGATTCCTTGGAAACTGTTCAAGGAATTTATTCGAGATAAGGCGTCTGCAACTACATTGTTTGCTCCAGAAATGTGTTTAATATCTGAAGTAAACTGCGAAATGTAGGTCAGTCGTCGAGACTCACGTAGTGAGTACTTGTCTGAAAAGGAGCTTAAAGAGGAAATAAGAGGCTTATGGTCAGCCAAAAGGATGAATTCACGGCCTTCGATATTGTGTTGAAAATGCCATACAGTACAATACATAGCTAGGAGTTCCCTATCGAATGTGCTGTACCTCGATTCGGTGTCTAGCAACCGTCTGGAGAACCTCTCAAGAATGTCAAGTTTTTCCCTGAAGAACTTACAGAGAGTCACTTTTACCAGCTCAGCTGGTAGCGAATTTCAGAGCTTGGATACCCATAAAACGTAGGACACATGACTTCAATAGGGTTTGGTAGTTTTTACCTCTAGTTTTCTTATATAATTTTTAAGGTTTGTGTTAGAACTGAACTTGACTAAGTATTTTGGGGGATCGCCAGAAGAGTTTGGAGTACTGTAGGTCTATAATAGGTTACCTGTAAAGTGCTCATTCTTTATCAAGCAACTATTCAGTGATTTAAATTCCTCTTCATAAGTTGTGGCCCTGGATTCCAGAACTGATTTCGTAGATGATCTTTGTATATGTTCCGGAGTATTCTTATCAACCGATAGGTATTTTAATGGTAAGGAAATCTCCACTGCCTCGCGTAAGCTGTCAAAGTCTGGTTTTATCAGACAAACAATGTCTCTTAGCTAATTTTTCTAATTCTCACTCTCTTTTCGGCCACGTTCATTATGATTTAATAGGATCTTTACAATAATCAATGGCATACATTTATTCCTTGGCATGTACTGACGATTTCACGGAGTGGTCAGTTTCCATATGAACGTTTCAGCTGTCTAACCACACTCTTAGGCATCAGAAGATTCCGGAGAACCTGCCTACTACCTATGAACCAACGGGCTGGCAGGATGATTTCGCTAACAGTTGATAGCTTCACTTTCAGCTGCAAACGTATCATAATCAACTGGTAGCTCTTCCACCCACACTACCCGAAATTCTCATTGTAATAGAACATGACTTTAGATGCATTGTAGCCGAACTTATTTGAGGCACGACAAATAGACTTTCCAGAAAGTTTGTATATCGTTCACCTTCTTCAGTGAATACGGATCTGAACTTACCTTGTTATTTGTTTGTCACAGCCTAAGCTCGACTTGCACAATCATCGAATTTATCGCTATATATGTGGTGAACCCGATTTACAGAGTAAAGAAATAAATGCCTCCGTGGCCTTTAACTTGCAATAGCATGAAAGATGTGACGGCATTTCAAGTTTGACGAATAATTTGCATTTTGATAGTTGAATTCGTGAGACCACCTAAGCTAGAACACCATTGAAAACCTGGAACCTTTGGAAAATATTGAAGATGATCAACCTATAAAAATAACCTCAATGGAATCTAGAGTGGTAGAGACAGTAGTTCAACCTCTAGTTGCTAGTAATCTCACTTTGACCTCCCAGTATCGGATTCCAATGTCCGGGTCATGTGATAAATGTCTAAACAATGTTAGCGTTATGACTATATAGCAAGACAACGGGCTGTTTGTTTCAGTTATATTCTTAGGCTCTAAGAAATCCTCTGATGAGGTCTTAAGCTGAGGCTTCTTAGCCTCCAGAATTAGTAACCTACTACGTTAATGGTTTATTGCATTTCTAGTTGGATATAAACGAATGATAAATTACAGCGGCTTTTTTCATCACCGAGGTCAATAACTGATGGAGTCATCCAGGCAAATATTAAGCCCACTGTTGTTTCTCAGGTACATATACGGTATGTTTAATACTAAAAAACTTCGTAGATTATATTGAATGCTGATGATCTCAAAATGATACAAAGCTTTACTCCTGAAGCCTTGGGTGAGACAATATCACAGATATAAGTGACTTCGATAACCTATCTGTCTGGAGCGAAAAGTGATAATTACTATTTAAGCACATATGTACGTTTTCGGGAAAACCACCGTGAACTACCTCCGTACGTAAACAAATGTATGGTCCAGACGCTCATCTCAGTGCACGATATAAGCATTAATTACACAGGAGTCCTAAAACTTGAAGAACATTTCAGAATCTAGGGGACTATTGAGTTTCATAATAAAGAATTTCTTCACGACGGAGTCCAATCTTGCCCTTTTTAGAATATGTAAACGACACCCTTTGAATGTTGTTCATTTATCTTCCCAAACAAGACTGCTGCAGACAGGATACAACTATATGCCCAAAAATGCTTCACACGTTGACTGCTTAGACGTGATTCTACTGTCGACTACACGGCTATATGTAGATATTTATCACGGGAGCATTTATCTTGTCAGGGGTTAATACACAACCTAATGTTTCCCTACGAAATAGTATATAGTCTTTCTTATTTAAATTACCGCCCAATTATGATCGATGACCTTGCTAACACGTTCATTAACAGTACATGTACACTACCAAGTGTAAAACACCAACAGCCAAGGCTCTGTGGGTTGTTAACAGTACGGTATACTTTACTGGT